GAATACTGCTATCGTTCCCCCCCTCCCCCTCCCGTCCTTCTTTTCTTCCTAGCCAAACTCAAATCCTGCAACCGTTCTTCCTATGTTTTCGTCTCCAGGCCTTCAATCATCTTAGTTTGCTCTTCTTTGCAATTTTTCCCAAAGTCTCAACATCTTTTTTTGTAACCTGGCGACCAAAACTGGATGCAGGATTCCAGGTGTGGCCTTACTAAGGCTTTACAAATGGGTACTTAATGCTTCACACGATCTTGGGTGTCCTTCATCGCCATCCCCTTGTCCTCTTGTCCCCTAATGGCTGGCTGGGGAATTCTGGGAGTTGAATTCCACTGGTGTTGTGGCCCGTCAGCGGCCTGTGCAGCTAGTAGCTGATTCCGACAGCGAGGAGGCTGGTGTGGTGCTGCGCCAGAAGCTTGTGCAGCTGGCACTCGAGTCGGACAGTGAGGAGGCTGGAGAAGATGTGATGCCAGAGGTGGGGATTCAGCCGGGGCCTTCAGAACCTCCAGAAGCTCCCATAAGTGAAGAGGAAGAAGAGGAGGAGCCTCTTCTCGATGCACGGGCGCGCAGAGCTGCCAAAAGGCAGGAGTGGCTCCTCAGGAGGAGGTCTCCTCGAGAGTAAGCCTTGGGGCTAATTGGCCACTCCCTTAGCCTATTTAAGGAGGAACGCCGACTGAAGCAATTTGCAGGGAACAACTTCGTTCACATTCCTTCATGTCTTGTCTTGCTTATCTTATCAGCTTCCTGCAAATTGCTTCTGGGCATTCTGCCAACCACAGTAAGATTTCGGTTATTATTCTTTGAATTCTTGGCAGCTGTTAATGCAGTTAATTAACAGCCATTGTTGTAAAAAACTGGTCTTTTTAATAAACTAAGGTTTGAACGGACTTTGCGTGTGCTGCGTTCTTTGGGGTCCATAGCTGGGGCAGAACAACTGGTCTTAAAGATGGCCGTAGTTGGACACCTCCCTGTTGTAGCTCACGAATGGCGGGGTGCGAAAGGCAACACAAGTGTTGCTGTGCGCGGAACGCCGTGGGAGCCAGGAGCTCCTGCTTGAGCAAGGGGCTGGACTAGAAGACCTCCAAGGTCCCTTCCAGCTCGACTCTGATTCTGATTATTAGCAAGAGCTCTGGAGGCTACAACAAAGAACCCACTGGAACGGGATTCGAACACAATGCCCCCCCTGCAAGTCGCGAGCGTTAGGCCCAGGGGCCTCGTTAATTTAAGCTTGTTGTCGGAGCTAATTTCTATCGCAACTTTATCCTGGCTTGTGCACTGCATTCCATCCGCCACAAATCCCCTTTCTTTCCCCTCTTTATTCCTGCTTCCTTCATTAGCGCCAACGCCTCCGCTGGTGAGGCTTTCTCGTTTCCTCCTGATTTTTCAAAATCCCACCACGGCTCTGTTCTTCGTGTGATGCTCTCGGCGAAGGGCATTACGTGGACGGAATGAAATTTGCACATTTTTGCATGCTTTTTTTTTTTACAAGCGAAAGCATGTTCACACAATAGCTGCTTTTCCCACCGTAGATTTAACCCACTCAGGCACTATCCCAGTAAAACCGACCGCTCACCCTGGATGTACGACCAGAATTGAGCCCCAAAATGTCCTTTGCTAAGCAAGATGGTTGTTAAGTGAATTTTGCCTCATTTTACAACCATTCGTGCCATACCTGGGTTTAAGAAAACCCATCTTTTCACTCAACATCTGGATTCCCGCAACCTTTTTCCCAGGTGTCACCCTGTCAAACACCACAGTTGTTAAGTGGATCACTGCCGGTGTTAAATGAATCACATGGTCGCTAAGCGAATCTGGCTTCCTCATTGACCTTCGTTAGAAGGTCGTAAAAGGGAATCACGTGACCCCAGGACTCTGCAACCGTCATAAATACAAGTCAGTTGCCAAGCTTTTGAATTCCGATCATGTGACCATGGGGATGCTTGCAATGGTCGTAAGTGTGAAAAACGCTCAGAAGTCATATTTTTCAGTGCCGTTGCAGCTTTGAATGGTCACTAAATGAAGTGTTGTAAGTCGAGGACTACCTGTTGTTATCATCCCACTGGGATGGTATGGAATAGAATGGAATGGAATGGAATAGAATAAAGAATAGAATAGAATAGAATAGAATAGAATAGAATAGAATAGAATAGAATAGAATAGAATAGAATAATAGAGTTGGAAGGGACCTTGGAGGTCTTCTAGTCCAACCCCCTGCTTAGGCAGGAAATCCTACACCACTTCAGACAAATGGTTGTCTAATTCTCTTCTTTTACCCTGACCAGGTGGGCAATACCTGCTCACCTGCCCTTCTGCTCCATTGCGATTTCCTGGAGCAGGGGTCTCCAACCTTGGCAACTTGACGATTTGTGGACTTCAACTCCCAGAATTCCTCAGCCAGCGCACGTGCGCTGGCTGAGGAATTCTGGGAATTGAAGTCCACAAGTCGTCAAGTTGCCAAGGTTGCAGACAGACACCTGTCCTGGAGGACCAAATAAATTATACCTCCATCATCTCCGTCAACTTCAGCTGCAGGAACATGGAATCCCGGTCCATTAACCAATCTGTGCCTGACTGAGCAGTTGAGGAAAGACTAAATCAAATTATTTAGCAGCTGGTTTAACGGATTCCTTAAACCACTCGTTTCTTTACCACCATTGATGCACCAAGCAGGCCTTGGGAACCAGGGTCATTGCCACAGATAAGCCCAGTTTAACTCTGTCCAGCCATCTCCAAGTTTTGAACGTGTGTGGCAGTGATGATGTTACTTAGTTGGGTAATGAAATGTCTGCCAAGAAAACGAGGAGCCTGAAGAGCTCAACAGACAGAAGCACTGTAATTTAACACCAGCTGTCTGCAATTAAAGTAAGTTCAAATCTCACCAGGCTCAAGGTTGACTCAGCCTTCCATCCTTTCTAAGGTAGGTAAATTGAGGACCCAGTTTGTGGGGGCAATAAGCTGACTTTGTATAAATATACAAAAGGATGAAGGCTATTGCTTAGCGCATTGTAAGCTGCCCTGGGTCTCCGGAGAAGGGCGGCATATAAATCAAATTAAAAACAAAAACAAAAAACAACTAAACTCAGAGAACCCCAAGGAGCCCACAATCCTCCCCTTCCTCCTCCTCCTCCTCCTGTTCCTCCTCCTCCTCCTCCTCGCAAACCCCACTTCCTTATAGCACTGATGATGTTACCAAATTGGGTCATGAAATGTCTGTAAGAAAACAATCTCAGAGACCACTAAGGAATTCCTCCTCCTCCTCCTCCTCCTCCTCCTCGCAAACCCCACTTCCTTATAGCACTGATGATGTTCCGTAGTTGGGTCATGAAATGTCTGCAAGAAAACAATCTCAGAGACCACTAAGGAATTCCTCCTCCTCCTCCTCCTCCTCCTCCTCCCTCCTCCTCCTTCCTCCTCCTCCTCCTCCTCCTCCTCCTCCTCCTCTCTGCAAACCCCACTTCCTTCTAGCACTGATGATGTTACCTAGTTGGTAAATGTCTGCAAGAAAACAATCACGTTCAGAGAGCACCAAAAAGATGGATGGAAGGAAGGAAGGAACGAAGGAAGGAAGGAAGGGGGACATCACTGATGAAATTACTTAGTGGGGTAATGAAACATCTGCAAGAAAACGACCAAGCTCAGAGAGCACTAAAGAATTCCTCCTCCTCCTCCTCCCACTGATACTGTAACCTAGTTGGGTTATCCTTCTAGCACTGATAATGTTACATCATGAGTGCTAAAAGGAAGAGGTCTAGAAGAGGCAAGAGCTGGGGTTTCATTGGGGCAGTAAAGGGCTTTTGACGGCATCTTTGGTTGCCCTCTGGAACCACAGGAGTGGGGTTTGAAGGTTGGGGAGGGGGGGCTTTCTGTTGGATTTCTCCGCCTGTCAGATTCTCCCAACGAGCCCTCATTTCACCTAGTTTTACATTTAAAAGTCTACAGGAGATAAAATTACCCTTGTTGCCTCTTGAAGAGTTCACTTAAAAAAAAAAAACAGTTGCATCAGCTTTTATGGCGTTCGATCCACTTCATCAAACACACGACAAGGAAAAAGCGTTTTGTGTATTCATAGGTATTCTTGGCAGCTGAGAAAAAAAAAATTGGGGGGGAGGGAAATTGGTAGGGAGACAAAGGCTGACAGCCAAGAGAAGATTGCAGTAAGAATGTCAAGAAACACAATTTCCAACCGAAGGTCTGTTTTAGAACCTGGTCGTGGGAACTTCACTGAGAGTTGTGCTCCTTAAATGCAGGAATCGGAATCGGAATAGAGCTGGAAGGGACCTTGGAGGTCTTCTAGTCCAGCCCCATGCTCAAGCAGGAAATCCGATACCATTCCAGACAAGTGACTGTCCAGCCTCTTCTTAAAAACCTCCACTAATGGAGCACCCCCAACTTCTGGTGGCAAGCTGTTCCACTGGTTAATTGTCCTCACTGTTAGAAAGTTTCTCCTTAGTTCCAGGTTGCTGGTTGCAGACAGCTGGTCCTTTGCATCCTTTTAGAGAGTCATTGAGGCCACTTGGAGGTTTACCTGTGTCCTCGGGGTCACCTGAGTGGTGCAAATGGGTGTGGCCTTTTTGGAACAGTTGAAAGGACTGTGTTGTTGAGTGGAGATAGATGATGTTGCATCCAGACAAATAGTAACCGAATAACAGAGTTGGAAGGGACCTTGGAGGTCTTCTAGTCCAACCTCCTGCCTAGGCAGGAAACCCTACACCACTTCAGACAAATGGTTATCCAACATCTTCTTAAAATCTTAAACAGAGAAAGGGTTGTTTAATTTGGACATAGATGGCCTCTTTGACCGTTCTTTCAATCCAGCGGTCCTCCGTGTCCAAAATGTGGAGTCTCCTAAAAAGGGGCCTTTGTCTTGGAATCGTCAATGGACTGCTGCATCTTGTCCTGATGGATTTGTTGCAACAACTAAGCATTTTCATGTTGCATGCGTGAAATCCTCAGACGGCCCTTCGTTCTTCCTTTAATCCTTGGTTTTTCTCGACTCTCATCCACAGCTCTTCGCCGCCTGGAGTTTTTGAAAAGGAATACGAGCTCTACCGAGACTACGGCTCCGATGGACAACGGTTTCACTACCGGTGAGCAGCCTCCCTCAAGAGGAGTCTTCCTCAACTTTGGCAGCTTGAAGATGAGTGGACTTCAACTCCCAGAATTCCCCAGGCAGTAGCCTTAAAGTGTATAGATTTCAACTTTTAGAATTCCCCACCTAGCGTGCTTTAAGATGGGTGGACTGATACTCCCAGAATTCCCCAGGCATCATGCTTAAAACGCATGGACTTCAATTCCCAGAATTCCCCAGGCAGCAGGCTTTAAAGTGTGTAGATTTCAACTTTTAGAATTCCCCAGCCAGCATGCTTGAAGAAGTGAGGACTTCAACTCCCAGAATTCCCCAGCCAGTATGCGTTCAAATGCATAGACTTCAGCTCCTGGAATTCCCCAGGCAGCATGCTGTAAAATATGCAGATTTTTAACTCCTAGAATTCCCTTGTTTGAAGAGCTGAGGACTTCAACTCCCAGAATTCCCCAGACAGGAAGAGGTATGACCTACAAGTCCTAACTGGCTGAGGAATTCTGGGAATTGTAGTCCACAGATCTTAAAGTTGTCGTGTTTGAGAAGGACTGCTCAAAGGGTTTTGAACCTGAACGGGTGAAAATGGGTGCTGGTTTTCGCCTTGTAGTAGGGTTGCAACACCAGGGGAGTTTAATGGTAGAAATGGAAAGAGGTTTATGGCAGAATGTCTGTACGCTACAGATAATCCTTGATTTACAAACATTCATTTAATAACCATCCGGAGGTATGATAAACCCCCACCCCAAAAGCTACTAAAAAACCCATCTTTGACGTTACAATGGCCGCACACCCACAACTACTTGCAGTCACATCAGGGGTTGGTTCTACTTACCTTTACTACCGGTTTGCATTGCGCCCACGCATGTGAGCTTGCGTGAGCTTATTTATGTGTACAGGTAGATAATATACTTTCTTTTGAGACCCAGTAACAGAATTTCATTGTTAATGTGGGCCAGTGCACTCACCTTAAAAAAAAACCTGACAATAAGGGTTATCTTATTGTATATAAGTGGGTGGCCCCATCATTGTTGGTGGGAGTGGTTTTGATGGCTCCTTGATTGCCGTTAACTTGCTTGTTTGCTTCTTGGTTGTTGTTAGACTAATGTTAATCTTGGTCGTAGGGCTAGGAGCTCAACCAAAGAAGCCTCCGATGGGCCAGATGTTTGCCTCTTTAAAAAAAGGCTGGGCTGGCGGCTTCCCTTCGGCAGGCAAAGGGGGGGAAGAAAGTATCCCAGGCAAGCCTTTGATTATTGCAACCTCATTTCGGGGTGATAAAATCGACCTCTCAAACAGAAGGCTGCCAGGCTGCCGGCTCTCCATAATCTTGTCGTTCGGAATTGTACCCAGCTGTTTGCTCTGGAGCCAGCCAGCCACCGAGCGTCAATATTTGTTCTCTTTTCTCATTATTGTCTCTCGTTAAAAGGAGAGCTGGCTGGGGGAGAGGCAGTTTCTGCCCTCATTTCTTTTTCCCCCCATTCTTGCTTTCTCGGGGCTGGGGCTGGGATGGGGGCTCAGCTGACACGAAGGAGACAGGACCCAGAAATGGGTTTTCTTCCCCTCTCTAGAGCAGGGGTCTCTGAACTTACGAAAACTTTCAGACTTTAAGACTTGGTGACTTCAACTCCCAGAATTTTGGGAGTTGAAGTCCACAAATTACCAAGTCCGTTGATCCCTGGTGTAGTCAACAGATGGTCCGTTGATCCCTGGTGGCTTAGTCTGCTGAGCCTGGTGGCTCAGCAGACTAAAAAAGCTTTGTGATTAACACCAGCTGTCTGCAATTACTGTAAGTTCAAATCTCACCAGGCTCAAGGTTGACTCAGCCTTCCATCCTTTCTAAGGTAGGTAAAATGAGGACCCAGTTGGTGGGGGCAATAAGCTGACTTTGTATAAATATACAAAAGTATATTTTGTATAAAGAGCCTGTAGTACAGTGGACTAAAGCACTGTTATTAACAACTGCTGCTTGCAATTACTGCAAGTTCAAATCTCCCCAGGCTCAAGGTTGACTCAGCCTTCCATCCTTTCTAAGGTAGATAAAATGAGGACCCAGTTGGTGGGGGCAATAAGCTGACTTTGTATAAATATACAAAAGTATATTTTTTGTATAAGTATAAAGAGCCTGTAGTACAGTGGACTAAAGCACTGTTATTAACATCTGCTGCTTGCAATTACTGCAAGTTCGAATCTCACCAGGCTCAAGGTTGACTCAGCCTTCCATCCTTTCTAAGGTAGGTGAAATGAGGACCCAGTTTGTGGGGGCAATAAACTGACTTTGTATAAATATACAAAAGTATGAAGGCTATTGCTTAACGCATTGTAAGCCGCCCTGAGTCTCCGGAGAAGGGCGGCATATAAATCAAATTAAAAAAAAAAATCTTTCTTTTCAGAACGCCGTCTCCAAAATTCGAAAGACGGCATGCCCTAGTGGTTAGTAAAACCTCAGTCCCCACGCATATGCGTCATTTTCTGGCCAGGGTTCATTGCTTTTGGTGACTCACTGGGGGGGGGGGGGGGGTTTAAAGGGCTTGAAGCACGAGAAACGTAAGCGTTTTGTCCTTCGGGGAAACGGCGAAACCCATCAGCCCGGTGCTCTGAGCCGCAAAGGAGAAGCGCGTTAAATAAATGTTAAGGGATGATTGGAACCGGGATAGAAAACACAATGGCAAAATGTCACCCTGTTGATATATATAAGCTTTGGCGTCAGTGACCTTCAAAATCCCGGAGATGGTCCTTTGCTCGTCTTACAGCATGGAGATTGTAGCAGCTGAGGAGGGGCAGGTAAGCATTGAACGCAGAATCATAGGTTGGAAGGGACCTTGGAGGTCATCTAGTCCCAACTCCCTGCTCAAGCAGGAGACGTCTCTGGAGATTCTCCGTCATCCAGATCATGGTTGTCCCAGAGGTGCTGTCCTGATCCAGCTCCCCAAACAGGACAAACCTTCTGTATTTAAATCAATGATTCTTTTAGTAGGAGCGTCGGCAGCCACCAGCAAAAAATTTCTCTCTCACCGCAGGCTAACAAATCTGTCCGGCAGGGAGATGAATAGTTGTCTGCCACATCTATTTGTCTCTGCCCCCTGCCTTTTATCCCCAGAGCTAAAGTGGGGCTTCGCTAGCAGTGGTGCCTCTTCTGTCCCGAGGACCGGCCCATAGATTTCCACTGCTGTCCTCTCCTCTGCCTTTTGCGCATCCATGCGTCAGGCACTGGATCCAGCTCTTCCTCCTCTTCCTCATCAGCCACTTCCAGACCTGGGGGCTGTTGACTCTCCATCTGAGGGCTGACGGACAGCTCTTTGTCTCTCTCTCTCTCTGCCAGCTCTATTTCCTCTTCCCCCTTGGGAGCTCTCAGGTTGCCTTGATGCTGATCCTGATTCCCACGCCTCCTCCTCCTCCTCCTCATCTGGTTCAGCTGCCAGAGGGACCGGCAGCCCCCAGGCCACAACAGGTGTTATTTCAAGAGGCAACTGGACTTTCCGGTTTTCCTCTGAAGACGTTTCACTTCTCCTCCAAGAAGCTTCTTCCGCTCTGTAAGATAATTGTCAGGTTTCGATATCGTCTCAAATAAAATTAATTGCAGTTCCAAACAGATAGTCTTCGAAGAAATCTTTCATTTTATTAAGCACGACAATCTGCCCCCGATCGTGGCATAGCCAACACTGACTTCCTGACTTCCCAAACCCTCCCTTTCCGTTCCCCAAATCTCTGCATCTCATTGGCCTTCTTCTAATCACTCTCCCCATATCTACTACCTAAGCTCCCAGGAATGTCCCCCTCCCTCTCATCTCCTAGGGGATATTATCTTCAAGGAAAATAAGTAGGTGAAATGTCAAGCATCCTCTTGCCAGCTGCCCCCTCTTCTCCTTCTTATGTCAGCATTAGAATAAATGCAGGTTGAAGTGCTGACAATAATGAGATTCTCCAGAGCGGAAGAAGCTTCTTGGATGGGAAGTGAAACCTCTTCAAAGAAAAAACATGAAGTCCAGTTGCCCCTTGAAAAAGCACCTTTGGGCCAAGCAGGAGACCCTGGCTTGCACTGTTCCAGACAAGCGTCTGTCCAATCTCCAGTGATGGGGCACCTACCACTTCTGGAGGCAAGGGTCATCGGATGGCTACTTGCAACCTTTCCAGGTGGCTTCCAACAAGCTGCCGACAATGGCGCAAACTGGATTCGCTTAACGACTGCATGCTTCATTTAACAGTGGCAGTGGTTTGGTTAACAACCATGTCCCAAAAAAAAGGTTGTACAATCTAACATGACTCACTCGGAAATCCTAGTCCCAATTGTTCTCGTAAATCAAGGACTATCTGTAGGTCATAAGATCACTCTTGAAATATAGGTAGCCCTCGATTTATGACCGCAAATGAGCCCAGATTTGATGTTGCTGAGAATTTGGTTAAAGTGACTTTTGTCCCATTCTATGATTTTTCTTGCAAAAGGTGTTCAGTGAATCACTGCAGTTGTTAAATTAAGAACACGGTCTATTCATTTCTGCACATTCCAAAATTTTCTTTATAATTTCTCCTTCCAACGGGAGAAACATTGAGAATAAAAGATAAAGGGGAGTCGGTGTATTTCAAGACATGGGATAAATTTTATGATTGGTTAGAAAAAAAGCACGAATAAGGACACAGAGATAAAATAGATGGAGAATAGATGGGAGAAAAGAATTAGAAAAATAGATACCCAGATGATGTCAAATAAAAGGAGAAAGGGGGGGAGGGGTAAAAGGGAAAAAAGTGAGATATTATAAAAATGTATGCAAATGATGAAATAAAAATAAATAATAATTGAATAAGAAATTGAAATGAGAATAAAGATAATTAGGAAATCGGGGCTGCTCGATTACCACTTTAGATTGAACTGAAAAGGGAAACAACAGGAGAGAGGGGAAAGGAGAAGAGAGGACAGAAGAGGAAAGGAGAAACAAGAAAGGGAAAAGGAAAGGAAGAAGAGGGAGGGGAAAGAGGAGTAGAGGAGAAGGTTAGAAGGGGGAAGAAAAGAGGAGT